GGGGGGGGGGGGGGGGGGGGGGGGGGGGTGGTGCGGTGGTTTGGTGAGAGAGTGCAGGGTACATTGTGAGGATCCAGGCAAGAGTCTTACTAAATGAGTTTTACAATATCATGCCCCTACCACCATCCCACCTCGTGCTCCACAAAGAGAGAAGGTAGAGAGCTGGGATTAAAAAAATGGTATGTCTAGCAAAAACAATACAGCTGTCTGCCATTGTCATTATTTTGCCTCCCACCTCGCAACCCAGCGAGATCCTTAGTTTAAATCCCATTCCACAGATCATGGAATTGAATCAGGTGAATCATACCCAGATGGGTCTGATTATAAAGGAAGTGTGAAAACTGAAAGAACTATGAATGCAGGAAATCAGATGCAATAACAGTAATTGCTGGAAAAGCTCAGCAGGTCTGGGAGCATCTGTGGAATGAAATCAGACTTAACGTTTTGGGTCCTTCCTCAGAACTTCAAGGGAAAGTTATTTTCTGTAAAAACGGTCAAAAAGAAAATGTAACCTCCGACGACAAGTGGGAAAAGTCTCAAATGGTCCATCCTTGCCAGTAGAAGGGGCTGACAAATTTCACAGGGGCCTGGTCTACACAGGGCTTCAGTCCATTGCTGTGCCATTGCCCCTTGATGCCGCCTGAAGCAGCCTAACAGACCATTCAGATCAACAAAACAATTCACCAGAAAGAGAGAACACACTGCTACATTCTCCGGGACAAGTGTCCATCATCAACCACAATCCGAGAACAGAGTTTAAAAAAAACCTGTACTTCTGTATTTGACCTCAGCATGCCTGAAGGAAGAGGCTAGGGAGAAAGAAAACTATTTGAGCTTTAAGGGGAAGTTACTCTCTGTAAAAATGGTCGAAGATGTTAAGATTAGCAGCAGCTGTCGAGGCACCCAGGACTGAACAGTTTTGAACTGTACAAAGTAGATTTTAAAATGCAGTCCAGCGGTTCCAAACCATCGCAGCTCACCTCTATCCTGACAGTGTCCTGAGTGAACCTTCTGCAGGGTAATGCCTTTGATAGCTCCCATTCTTTCCATGGCACACTTGCTTTCATAGGTCTGCCCATCATCCGCGCACACTGTCTCGTGGTCTGGTGGGCAGCTTTCCGGGCGCAGGAGCACTTCAGGTTTGTGAGCTCTTGGATGTACTCGGCATACCTTATTTAGGTCATTCTGTGCATCTCTGCATGGGTCTGTACATGGCAGAAGAAGCAGTTACAGAGCAGTCAGTAATACAGCGTTACTCCCTGTCTCTGCCTGGTTTATTTTTCTTTATTCATTAACGGGATGAGGGCATCACTGGCCAGGCAGCATTTATTGCCCATCCCTAATTGCTCAGAGGGCAGTTCAGAATCACCCACATTACTGTGGGTCTGGAGTCACATGTGGGCCAGACTAGGTAAGGATGGCACTTTCCTTCCCTAAAGGACATTAGTGAATCAGATGGGTTTTTCTGACAATCGACAGTGGATTCATGGTCATCATTAGATTCTTAATTCCAGATATTTTTATCGAATTCAAATTCCACCATCTACTGTGATGGGATTCAAACCGAGTTCCCCAGAACGTTATCTGGGTCTCTGGATTAACAGTCTGATGATAATACTACTAGGCCATCACCTCCCCATTCAGGTCTTAAACAACAGATGGACTGGAGAACTGGGGTTTACGAACCATTTATCCAACAGCTACAAATACTACATAGAATTACATAGAATGCACAGCACGGAAAGAGGCCATGAAACTTATCAGTGACAGGATTAGGGTTAGGGGTGCTCGAGGAGCCAAACTGTTCTCCACACTGCTGTTCAGTAGTTTCACCCACTGAATGTGCAAATCAGAAGTTCAAAACTGAGTATCTGCAGTTTTCCTGGTGTTGTCTTTTGGTCAGAGAGGCATATGCTCAAATATTGGCAATGTACAAGATCACCGAGCACCACTCTCTGATCACCATTGACTGCTGGTGAGTCACGATCAATCAAGTGGCTTTCTCAGCATCAGCATCTCTCTCTTTCCTCCTTACCATGGGGTCAGGTGCTCAGCATGACAGGTAGTCATGAGTCTCAACTCATGCTGGGTTTGGTAACTGGAGTAATGCTATTTCTACCATAGCCACTCACCTTGGGCTAATGACAGGGAAATAAGCCAGGGCTCGAATTAGATCATAGAATCCCTACAGTGTGGAAACAGGCCCTTCGGCCCAACAAGTCCACACTGACCCTCAGAGTATCCCACCCAGACCCATCCCCTATAACCCACCTGGTCTACACATCCCTGAACACTATGGACAATTTAGTATGGCCAATCCACCAACTGGTGCTGGCTCCTTCAGAACATCACTCCAGTAGATAATCTTTACCTGAAGTCCCAACAAGAAACAGTGGCACACATTCCTGGGACTGTGGGAGGATATCAGCATCCCTGCCTCTGAGGCAGAAGCTCTGGTTTCAAGTCCCACTCTAAGACTCAATGGACCCAGGAAGGTGTGTTTATATCAAGGTCAAGCAGCTTGATTACCAACTTGTGAATCCTTTCCTTACCCCTTCAGCAGGAGCATTTACTGGTTGACCTGGTGGAGTGGTTACAGTTTATAGAAAGGTTCCAGAAAACTCTAGCTACGGAAACAGACTTGGCAGGGGCTGTGCCTCAGGTGTGAGAGCAGAACATGATTCACTTCTTGAGTGAAGTGTCAGTGCCTGTGCTAACTAACTCGGCCTGCACACTCCAACAGGCATCGCCAGGACAACTATTAAGTGCCGGACTTTGGCCAATGTTTCCCTTCTTTATCTCAGAATCCCAGCAGCAGGCCATTCAGACGGTCAGGCCTTCTCTGCCATTCAGTTGGATCATCCCTGATTGGCACTTCATTTTCCAGCACCTCCCCCACCATTTGAAATCTCTGGATACCACAATGTCAAAAGACTCGACTCATCTCAGGCCTGGAAGCTCCATCAGCCGCCAAGATCTGGTTTGATTGTTAGAGTGAATATTGAATTCAGACAGAGGACCTCTGGGGAAATCGACCTGACAGGTTATGACTAAATATACCCAAGAGAGAGAGCAGCAGCCAAGGCTGCAATTACCAGTGAGTTTAGATCACAATTTCTTTCTGGAAGGTGAGGGAGAAGCAAACACAGACAGAGAATAGCTCTTTACCTTTGACATAGCACATCACAGCTTCGCTCCTTCTTGCTTAATAGTGCTGAGTGCCAACTGCATGAAGTGTTGGTCAGACCCTTGTGTGTGCTGCTATCCACATCACTATATTTACCTTACTCAGGTTGGGGAGGTATATGGTGGGGAGATGGGGGCTGGTGTAGTGACATCGGTGCTGATTCCGACTGCTAAAGGAACAGGAACCCTGGCTGAATTTTTCTGCTCTCGCACAAGAGGCACTGAGGGCAAATGTTGTCACCTCGTGTAGACAGAAGGTGAAGCTGGGATGGTCACGGTCTGTACTGTCAGGCATCAGGAAGTGCATTTGTCCATCGTGACATCAGGCGGGAGTTTGGGAGAAAAGAAAATCAGGCCACATAAATAATTACAGCCTCGGGGCCAGCATCCCGTTCCAAAGAACCGCTCTCTAAATACCTGGCTACCCATGTAGAGCTTTTAGCTCAGCAGGTGGTGGGAGCATATCCAGGAGGATCTGAAGGAACATACAATGGCTGCAATATATACTGCAGTGAACTCAAGGTCACCCAGATAGCACAGCCATTGGTGAGGAACAAATTTCAATGGCATCACACACACACCCCCGTAACTCTAGAAACATAGGTATATAAGGAGGCCATTCAGCCCTCGGAGCGTAGTCCACCATTTATCGAGGTCAGGTTGAACCATATTAAACTCTATTCACATACCATGGTTCTGCAGACTTTAACACCCTTCCTGGACAAAAATGGAATCTCGGTTCAAACCCTCACAAATTCAAACCTACTCCGCCATCAGTAACAACCCACCTGGTTTAGTCATGTCCTTTACGGAACGAAATCTGCCAACCTTACGCAGTCTGGCCTACACGTGACTCCAAACCCACAGCAATGTGATTTGTTCTTAAGTGCCCTCTGGGCAATCAGGGATGGACACTAAACACTGGCCTAGCCTGTGATGCCCACATCTCACGAATGAATTAAAAACAAAAGTTATGAACTGTTCAAGTGATCCACCCCCCTCCACCCCAACAAGTCTTAACAATCTTTTGGAGATGCAAGTTCAAATTTCCAATAGCCTTTTTGTAAAGATATGCTTCTTGATGGCACTCTGGAACGTTCTAGCATTTTAATGTGATGCCCCTTTCCTGTGGACTCTTCTGCCCAAGGGAATAGTTTCTCTCTATCTCCCTCACAAAATCCTTTAATTGTATTAAACTCCTCAATCAAATAACCCCATTGTCTTCCTGTATTCAAGGAAACACAGGACTGGTCTGTGCAACCTCTCCTTTTGGTTTAACCATTTAATCTATGTCAGCACAGGCTCGAGAAAACCTGGCGCCAGTGCTCCACTTTGGTGAGGTAGAACTTCCAGCTTGGACTGGCTCACTCACCGCAGGGTCCATCAGACTTCTTGTAAACATTCTTGTGGTTATCGCAGGCATGTTTATTGAGCTCGCACTCGTTTCTGTAATCCTTGCCATCGCTGCCGCACACCACACTCTCCTGGTCTCCACTGCACGTGGTGGGACAGACACATTTGGCTGACTGGCCATCAGATGACTGGATGCAGGTGCTGCCGAATCCACAGGCCACCTCGCTGCATGGGTCCTTCGAGCCTGAGAGACAAGAGGAGGAAAGGGGCAGCCTTTAGAACACATACAGCAAAGCACGTCCCAGCGACCTGAGTTATATAGGTCGCCTGCAGTTCGCCATGGAACACAGTTATGTTGTGAGGTGCCAAAGCAATTACTGCAAAGTGATACAGAGGTGAAAGTGGAACTCAGATATTTATCTGGGTCACAGGTGTTGTGACCTCTCTTACTTAGCTGAGGTTTGGTGTTACGTGCAGTGCAAGACCAAACTGAACAGTGCGCAGTCAAACCAGGTTCTCAGATTGCTCAGGAGCATTTGTTGACCCCCAGGTCTTTCTGAACGCACCTCCTGTAGCTATCACAGTTAACCCTCCAGCGCACAGCTTCAGGTGGAACCTGATCTCTGCCTGGATTGCAGTCACAGTGTGCCTAGGGTCTGCAGCTCAGCCAATTCCACCCGAGTCCCAATCAGCTGCAGCAACAGATGCTCCTGGTTTGGAAGCTTCCAATCAGAGAACCAGCCCCATTGTGTTTTCTAAAGAATCTACGTGTGCTGCAACAAAACATAATTGGGAAGATTAATGAGTGAAAAATTAATTGACTAATAGATTTGTCTTTATGCCAGCTTGTATGGTCACACTTCAGTACCAATACACACCTGAGACAGTTCTCCCCATCTCCTGCTACTTCAACAAAGTCAATCTCACAATATACTTACTCACTGCCTTCAACTGGTATACACAGCAACTGGATCAATATCAACTATTCTTGAACCGAAAACTATTTCTTTTACGATACATCCACTTGCACAGTGGTTACTATCGACCAGTTAGCTCAACATCTATTATTGGGAAAATGTTACAAAAAAATTTACAAAAGATGTAACAGCACATCATATCAAAATAGATAATATAACCAAGCAGAGTCAGCATGGCCGGTGAAAGGGAAATCATGCCTGACAAGTTTAGTTTCAGTTCTTTGAGGAAGTAACAAGCAGAACAGAAAGGATAACTGGTTGATGTAATATATTTGGATATCAAAAATGTATTCAATAAGGTTCCACACGTAAGGCTACTTAATAAGAGAACAGCCCATGTTGTTGGAGTGGTATATTAGCTTTGCTAGAGGAATGTCTAACTTACAGAAGACAGACCTTGGAATAAATGGTGCTTTTTCACAATGGCAAACTGTAACTAGTGCAGTGCCACAAGGATCAGTGATGGGACCACAATTATTTACAATATAGCAAACAGTTGGATGAAGAAAGTGAATGCACTGTTGCCAAGTTTCCAGGTGACACAAAATAGGTGGGAAGCCAAGTAATGAGGGCCACATAAATAATCTACACAGGGATATAAGACAGGTTAAGTGACTGGGCAAAAACTTGCCAGATAGAACATAACGTGGGGAAATGTGAGGTCATGCACTTTGGCAGAAAGAATAGAGAAGCTGAATATTATTTAAAAAGACTGCAGAAAGCTACAGCACCAAGGGTTTCGCAGGTCCTCATGCATGAGCACAAAGAAATGAACATGCAAGTTCAGCTGGTAATAAGGAAGGCAAATTGAATGTTGTTCTTTATGAATGGAGTATAAAAATAGAAAGATCTTGCTAAAATTATATAAGGCACTAGTCAGACCACAGCTGCAATACTGTGAACCATCCTGAGCCTCTAATTCAAGGAAAGACTTAATGGCATAGGAGGCAGTCCAGAGATAGTTCACTGGGTTGAGTCTGGGTATGGAGGGATTTTCTTATGAGGTGAGAGTGGGCCTGTACTCGTTGGAATTTAGAAGAATGAGAAGAGACCTTTTTGAAACAGACAAGATTCCTAGGGGGCTTGACAGGGTAGATGCGGTTTCCCCTTGTGGGAGATTCCAGGACTAGATGGTAAAACTTTAGAGTAAAAGACAGAGATGAAAAGGATTTTTCTTTCTGAGAGGTTGGTGAATCTGTGGAATTCTGTGGGCTGGGTCATTAAGTATATTAAAGGCTGAGATAGACAGGTTTTTAAATTGGTAAAGGAGTGAAGGCTTAAGGGGAAAAGGCATGAAAATGGTGTTGAGAATTATCAGGTCAACCACGATCTCTCTGAATGGCAGAGCAGATTCAATAGGCTGAATGGCCTTCTTCTGCTCCTTTGCCTTAGGATTAAGAGCTGCTTATTTGATTTTCAGAGCAGTCATATCAGGCTTTACTCTCAATATCAATATCAAAGTGAGTCTTGAATCTTTTAGCAGCCAGCAGTCAGGAGTGGGAGCAACTTTCCTTTCATGGCGAATGGTAGAATGTGCTGAAGGAAGGTGGCAGGGAAAATGCCATGGAAATATTTACGCTGGCTGGGGAACAGAGAACATGGGGTCACAGTCTCACTTAAGGGGTTTCAACCATCTAGGACTGAGATGGGGAGAAATTCCTTCACTCAAAGAGTTGAGAATTTTCAGCATTCACTACCGTAGAGAACTGTGGATACATAATCAATGAGTAATTCAAGATGGAGGTCAATAGTGGTTTGCGTACTAAAGAAAATTAAGGAATATGGGGATAGTATAGGAAGATGCAGCTGAGGTAGGAAGTTAACCATGATCTTGCTGAACAGCAGAGGATACTGAGAGGGCTAAATGGCCTCCTCCTGATCCTATTTGTGACGTTCTCATGGTTATTTGCTAAGGAACACAAAGACTAGTCTTACAGCCTCAGTGGCTTCAACCCAGCTCCGACAGCACACTGGGCACACTGCTATGATATTATGGCTTGAAGAGGTGTATTTTGTTCTGGTTTGTTTTAGTGCAGAGGGGTTGAGATAGAGGTGCTGAGCACACTGTTCCAAGCCAATAAAGCAAACAGCTTGTGAGGCCTTGGGATGTTTTCAGAAGTTGTAACAATAGAAGCAGCCTGAATGGTTGGAGTCAAGCTCCTGCCAAACCAGGATTTTAGTTTAACTTTCAGGAGCTTTTGGGGTTTGGAACCTGCTAAACATCTATCCCTGCTACAGCAAAATGCTTGTGTTTTCTTCCTCTCTCTCTTTGTCTCAGAGTTTTCTCTTGATGTTCTTTCCTCTTGGACTGAGGAAACATTACACCAGGTCATAGTCCAACAGGTTTATTTGAAATCACAAGCTTTCATAGCACTGCTCCTTCATCACCTGACAGAGGAGCAACGCTCCGAAGACTTGTGATTTCAAATAAACCTCTTGGACTATAACCTGGTGTCGTCTGACTTCTGATTTTGCCCACCCCAGTCCAACACCGGCACCTCCACATCATGGAGAAACGTTGCATGTGAGACAATCTACTTTACTGAATTTGCCTTTGCCAAGGGCGTGTTTATGGCATGTTACTATCTTACAATAACTAAATAGTGGTAGTTGACACACATATTATCTTGTTATGTATTTTGATACAGTTACAATTAAACTCATTTTTCTTATTTTGTCTGTGTTTTAACTGGAGTGTAAGAATAAAGTGTATTTTGCTCCAAGCCTTGTAGATTGACCAATCAAATTGCATCTGGAACATAGCGCCTTACACTTTCCTTTTAAAATAAGAAAAAATTGGGGTCTAGGCCATCTTCTTAAAATATTTTGAGGGGGACTGGTCTGGTCCATAACAACACAAATGGCTCACTTTCAACAAGTTGGCTTACCATTGGCTTTATACAGGCAACCAGGGACAGGCAATTCATTTCTGCAATGTCCCCTTCCACCAGTGTGGACGTAAGATGAAAAATAATCAGCAGATATCCAGGATCAATTCTTGCATGGCTCACTTCCAAAGTAAGACAATGTGTATCCTAATGAACCCTCAGGGAATGATTCTTTACATTTAACGTATTATTGCGGCAATGGATAGATAGTGCTGTCTGCCTGACTAGGGCTTGGTCAGCACAGCATTGGAGTAACACCATTCTCTCCATGCCAGCCACCTCCTTTCTCACTAATTGTTGCACAGTGGAAGCCACGTCCATGGTGATCACCAAGACAACATCAGTAATCAGAGGATTAGTAAACAAATAAAAACAATGCTGATTTGTACAACTGTTTAATGTCACCAAGGACAATTTTCCATTGATCTGTTAATTATAGACTAAAATCAATGCAACCAATTGTCGCAGCCTTTTCATACACAGCCTTTTGGGTAAACAGCGCGTGGAATAAAACTCACAATGTCTCGGGCTGGGACAGAAGGGGCTTTGGAGTACTTGGACACTGAGGTCAAGCAAAGACTGTACATACTAGAGTTCCAATCATTTCTCTACATTCAATCACCAGCCTATACAGCACCCCCTGCTTATTGCAGTTAACAGTGCAACTGAGATGAGGATGGGCAGACTGGCATGGTGTCCATGGCCTATCATCTGCCTCTCCTCTCCCACCGATTTGCAAATGCAACCTCAGGCAGGGGGTGGGGGGATGGATTAGAGATTAAAATCCAACCCGTCCTCCCTGAATCATCACCGACTCAGAATCTGAGCGCTCCCTACCCATCAGCACTGTGGGTACCTTCACCACACAAGACTGCCACAGACCATGAAGGCAGCTCACCACCACCTCCATCTCCGGGGCAATTAGGGATGGGCAATCAATGCTCAACACCAGAACCCATACCCCACCATTATGGCAGTGATGGCCACAACCCGAGAATGAATGTTAATTTTAAAAGCGACAGTCTTATCTTAGCTCGAGGGATGAGGATGGGTTAAAGATCAGAGTTTCAGTGTTGGCTCCAAATGTGAGCAGGGTTCAGTCCTTGCTCAGTAAAGTGAACATTGCAGATTCAGATTGCTTCCAACCTCCAAGGGCACACAACACAGCCCTGAAATCGCCTGGCACCTTAAGCAAATTGGCATAAAAAGAGGAAAATGTCTCAATTATGCAGTCTGCTGTGAAGCTGCGGCAGCGAGCGTACTGGCAGAAATCCTGATCTGTACCTAACCTGGGAGTGACTGATGCCAACAACTGGCACCAGAAACTGTTCCATTTCCTGATGCCAACAGCCCCTCACCTCCATGGGCACAGGAATAAA